CCATCTAAGAGTTTTTACTAGCACAGACTCCACATCAAACTCTCTCTTGGTGTAAAGGGGAAGAGTGCGCGAGGGCACGGGCGTGGGCACAGGTACTGTCGCACACCCCCCATACCTTGTTTCACAGCCTTGGACAGGATCAGCTTCCCAGACTTTATCTGGGCTTTGGCGAGATGCAGAGAGGCTGTTAAGAGCTGTGCGGCTTTCACCAGCTGCTCCACGCACCTGCACCGGAAGGAAGGCAGAGAGTGTTATCTGCGAGCCAATGCCTCCCACTCCGCCCTCTACACATCGGGTCACCAGAGAGCATTTCTAAAGGAGTATCATCCTCCTTGACATTTTTTTTTAATATTTTATTTATTTATTTAACAGAGAGAGAGAGAGATCACAAGTAGGCAGAGAGAAAGGCAGAGAGAGAGGGGCAGGAGGCTCCCCACTGAGCAGAGGGCCCAATGTGGGGCTCGATCCCAGGATCCCGAGACCATGACCTGAGCCAAAGGCAGAGGCTTAACCCACTGAGCCACCCAGGTGCACCCCCCTTGATATTTTTAATGCATAAATAACTCCTGAAGGAAAAAAGGTTCAGCACAGAAAAAAGCATGTGTGAAAAGACTCAAGAACCAATACAACCTCTTCATCATCAAATACCTTCAACAGTATAAGTCACAAGGAAGAGGCAATACTAAGGCTGCAGAATCTTTGAGTCTTGGCTCAGAGGTGGAATCTAGGCCAGTGACATAACCAAGAGCTCCCTTGAAGCTCTTCATGAGACACAATCTCTAGTGTCTGACAGGACCTCCATCTCAGACACAAATTTACAGAAAGCAGGGAGAATTTGGAAGCAAATGACAAAGGGGGCATGTACCCCCAGTCTTTGCTCAGCTGGCTGATCTGGTCCACGGCCACACTCTCCTGGATCTGGTACGAGGAGACAGAGGATGTGCACAGCTCCAGGTGGCCGCCCTGCATGGCCCTCAGGTCCAGCACTCACTCCATGAACATCAGCATCACGTTGAGGTGGTGTAAGGTGTCTGTGTGTTCTCTCTGTGGCAAAGCCAAATTGTCTTAGAAACTTAGAAACTAAGAAGGCGGGCATACTTGTTTCTGTATATACACTGCGGCCAAAGCTACTGTGTTTTTATACTTACAAACATCAGAATGAGTAGAACAGACTACAATTTTTAAATTCCCCAAAACTAGTAGGAAAAGAAGCACAGGTGAAACACAATGTGGGTGTGTGGGTGTGTGCATGCGTT